GAATCTTTCTAAGAGTAGAATGTGAACGTTTTAAAACAATAACTGAGAAAATGACATGAAGGCTGTGTTGACCAGTTTGATGGAAGTAGTTCGGATTGCATGTGAAAACCCCACACTGTACCCCAGAAGTGCATTAATGTACATAGTTACCATTCAATAAAAAAAATGTATAATGATTTGAAAAAATTATAATTAGCACAAACTTTGGAGAATGATTTGAAATTCTGGGAAATGGAGACAACACAGGGAGATCTTACCTACTATTCAAAGAATGTCAGAAAACATGGAAGAGTGACCTTCATTCTCCTTTGCTCCTGCTTCAAGCTTAATCACATCCACACCCAATTATAACTGACTCCCCAAAGTGGCATAGGTTTAATATACCAGGACTCCAGGGTGATGGGAAGTTGAATGGAAGCATGCTTTGAACCATGACTTCTAATTTGGTGGGCCCACTCTAAATTTCCTAAGATTTGTATTTCAGATAAACTATTTCCAGGGAAGAATATTTGGATCCTGATTCTGTTTGTGATGATGGCTGTACTGCTATTCTTTATCATGGTGCCCAGTATTGAACTACATTTCAGACAGAATTGTAAGTCAGTTTGAAAGGTGGGAGGGAGAGTGAGAGAGGAGGGTACTAAAGCTGCATGAGCCTTGGTTTCCAAGCCTATCCTCATCGGGTTGTTCTTGCATGTGTGTTAGACATATGCCCTGCATCCATTCATTAGTCTGACATATTTTTCTTTTATTGCTGGAGCAGATGACAATGCTTTTATCTGAAAGCCTGCACTTTTCATACTTCTGCCAGGTTGGAACCTCTTTTTCTTGTGGTGATGGATTTCCAAACAAAGTGGGAAAGGTTTTTAACACAATTTACACTGGTTTCTCACTTGACTTCTTAAAAGTGTCCAATGATCCCATCAGGGGCAGGAAATAGAATATAAACTGCAGATGGCAGAAGTAGCTGAGAAGAGGTCACTTGTCAGAGCATCAGGAAAATAAACCACGAACATTAGAGCAGCTGCAACACCAAACAGCTTACTTTTCCCAGGAGAAAAAGTTTTTGTACATTTTCATTTATGCTGTGCTGTACTAAGGGTGAAAGGACTTGAAGGATTTGCAAGAAAATTTAAGACACAAAAAATATGTTCATGATTTGGGACATGCTCAATTTAAAAAGCTTCAGACTCACAGATCCCTCCTAGGAGAGATTCATCTTGCAAGCTCTTTCAGCTCTAAGCTTTAGCCAAATTCTAAATGAGTGCAGGGAGGTGGCGTCAGATTAAACCTTTTGATTTTTAGGCCTGTTTTCCCCAATCTAAAATGCCTTTACACCAATAATTGATGATTTTTTTTTCAGATAGCTTAAAGGACTGGAAATCTCCACTCATAGTGGGCCTAGGGATAGTCTTCCCTTCAGTGGGTGTAATCGTTGGAGTTGTTGTCAGTCTGCATAAAAAGGAAAGAGGTATGTATGATCTAAAAGAGGGGAACTTTCTGAAAATATTGCCTTTCCCAAGGCTTTGGCAAGACATTTAACCAAAGAGTGATACTTATTTGAACCACTGGAGGAATAAATGCTTGGGCCGCATATCCAAGGCTTTGGATTCAATTTTATGAGCCTAATGTTGAAAACTGCTTCTGTTTCTGCTGGTAGGGAAAGAAAATACTTCCATCAGTTTAACAGCTTAGATTTATTTTCCAAAAAAATCTAGCTATCACTTCATCTAATAAATTATGCCGATTTATCCCACACTTTGAGCCTAGGATAGTTATACTTCAGTATATCTTAAAATTTCTTTCAGAGATTGATGCAAAGCCAAGAACATGCTCCTCAAAATTATTTATATGTCCACACAAATTGTGCTTAATTTCAGGGTGTGCATGGACACCTGTTACTGATTCTTCTTCTGTTTGGCTCTCTTTGAGGGTGAAATGAAAATGGCATTTTTGAAAGTTTTATGACAGCTAAATCCAAAATATTTGAAATGTGCTCTCACCTTTATTTTCATGGTTCCCATGGAAATGGCATACACAACACAATGATCTACAAAATAAAGTATATCTTTATGATAAGTGGGAGCTACCACCAAAAACATAATGCAAAAGTAATAGAACAGGGCTTTACTGTTCAAATGATTTTTTTCCATTAATTTTTTCCTGTGAAATGAAGGCAGAGATAGCCACAAAAGAAATTAGGGTGAAAGAATCTTTTATAGTCATACTGAGAAAGTCCAAATTTGAGCCTTGCCTAAAGAAGAGAAGCATCATAACAGGTGTCCATGCACATCATGAAATTAAGCACAATTTATATAGACATTATGATTTTAATTACATTTCCCTGGGTATTAGTGATGTTGAGAATATGTTTGTTAGCCATTTCTCTGTTTTCTTTTATAAATCTTCTGTTCATGTCTCTGGCCCACTTTTTATTAGAGTAGTTTGGGTTTTTCTTGTTTATTTGCTGGAGCTCTTTGTAGATTCTGAATATTAACATTGTATAGTCTGCAAATATTTTCTCTAATACTGTAAGTTGTCTATTTCCTCTGTTGCTTATTTCCTTAGCAATGTAAAAGCTTTTTAGCCTAATCAAATACCATTTATTCATTTTTGTTATTGCTATGATTATTATTGTGGTCTTAGCCATAAATTCCTAGGCCAATATATAGAGGAGTTTTTCCTACTTTTCCTTCCAGAATTCTTGTGCTTTCATGCCTTATATTTAAGTCCTTTATCTATCTTGAATTAATTTTTGTGAGCTGTGAGATAGGGATCCTGTTTCACTCTTATGCATGTGAGCATCCAGTATTCCCAACATCATTTATTGAATAGGGGCTTCATTACCCCAGCATGCCCTCTTGTCTTCTTTGCCAAAAATCAGCCTAATGTAGGTTGAGAGTTTTATATCTGGGTTTTCTATTCTGTTCCATTGGTCTGTGTCTCTATTTTTGTACCAATACAATGTTCTTTTGGTTACTATAACCTTGTAGTATAGTTTGAGGTCTGGTAATGTGATACCGCTAGACTTTTTTGTAAGATTGCTTTGGGCTTTTTTTCTGGTTCCAAACCAAGTGTAAAGTGATTTTTTTCTTGATATTTGTGAAATACATTTATGGTGTTGGTGATTTTTTTGGTAGTATGGACATTTTAACATTGTTGATTCTACCAGTCTATGAGCGTGATATGTTTTTCCATTGGTTTGTGTCATCTACAATGTCTTTCCTCAGTGTTCTTAGCTCCTGTAAAGGACTTTCCCCTCCTTGGTTAATTATATTCACATGTATTTTATTTTCCTTGTAGCTATTGTGAATGGTCCTGAGCCTTTGATTTGGCTCCTAGTTTAACTGTTTTTGGTATATGGAAATGCCACTGATTTATGTACATCATTTTGTAACCTGAGACTTTGCTGAATACATTCAGCAATTCCAGGAGTTTCTTGGTGGTCTTTGGGGTTTTTGAGATACAAAATCATATGATCAGTGAAAAGCAAAAGCTAGGCCTCTTTTTTCCTGATTTGGATACCTTTTTTTTTTTTTTTTTTTTTGTTCAACTTTGATCTGAAGTATATTTTCTTTTTTACTTTTTAGGTTCAACTTTTTTTTAATTTCAGAATATTAGGGGGCACACACATTTTGCTTGCATACTTAGTTTTTGTGCAGATTGGATCAAAGTCATACATGTGTGGATGCCCTTCACAAAGATAAGTGTGCTCTATGCCTAATAGGTATGAATTTATCCATCACACTTGCCTCTTCCCTCAATTTGACTTTTCTTGAGATTTACTCCAATACGTACATTTAAGTGTTGATTGATCAGTTCAATAAATTAATTCTGACCATAAATTCTACCACCAATTTTAGACTCATAGTTGTGAACAAGACAAATGAGATTTGTGCCTCCTTGGAACACAGATTCCTAAAGGGAAGATAAATAATTTTAAAAGTAAATAAGCAAACTGTCACCAGAGTTTGGAAAGGAGAATTGCCAAATTCCAGGGGAGTATAAAATGGTGGAATCTACTTACTTTGGAATTTGTACTTTCCCATAAATTGGATTGTAGATAGATGATAAAGAATGAAGTAACGAAGAGTGTCCTGGCAAGAGAAAGTAACATTTTTTGACACCATCTATGTGAGAATATACCAGCCTTCCAAAGAAATAAAATAAATCACAAGTATTCACCATCCTGTATAGCAGTCCTTTGGGGATATAAATCAGTAATCCTACAAAGAACTGTTTCTGCAATGTCAAAAAAAATCCTAATGTCTTCAATTATCCACCAAAATGTTAGCCTTCATATTATCTACCCTTAAGTCTCAATCACAAACTTTCTATGCCTCCATACTCCTGGCCCAGCCAGCCATTCTTCTTCTCTCATGTAGCCACTTGTAAGATGGATGGCCTCTGGACAACTCCCTTGCAGAACTCAATTACTCACAATACAAAATTGCTTCATTTGGCTGGAACTGGAACCTTTACTATCCTCATAGAGGAAACTCTCAGTTTATAACTAAAGTTTCTCTTTCAACTGAAATTTGAGCCTCTTTCTAACTTAGGCCTCTGTCACAGCAATAGCCTTTCCAAACCCCAGTTTTATCTGTGTACGTGTCCTTTAACTCTCCTTATCTTATGATAAGAAACTCCCTACATTGTACAAACACTAGCCCCTAAGCAACTTTGTTAAATTAGCACATGATTTTTTTCTGCTCCTATAAACTCTACATATCACTGTCATTACCCTGTACCAAAAGCTCTATGGACTTCTATGAAAATAGAAACCTTTTGTGTCCCACTCCAATGCTTCAAAGTTACATAAGTGGATGCTAACTTATTTCTTTTACTTCCTTGTAAGATAATTACTGAGATTAATCATAAATTCTCACCAACAAGTATATTCTTACTTTCATTTTGCGCACACAAACTCATTTCGAACCCATCCTTCCTCTTCTTTAACATGAATTTTGGTGTTCAAGCAAAGAAACAACCACACTGTTTCTTCACAGGCTCTGATCATTATAACCAGTGTAAAAGTTTGTATAAATTGGGTCTTTCTTATCATACTCAACTTAAAAAGAGAGAACTAGAGGGAAAAATCATTCAGCACACAAAGCACCTGCTCCAAGAATTAAAATTTCCAAAAAGCTAGCTACTGTCCTACTGTAACCCTAAGACTATTTTTTAGCTAGTAGTTGCTAAAACAACAATCTAATGTGACTCTAATTCTGGTTTACCCACCACCAGCACTCCCCAATTATAACTGACAAGCTCCCTGAAACCTATTAGTGCCAATGAGCTGTCTTTAAAAATAATCCATAACATTTCTCTTTCTAATAAAAACTCCTTCTCTTTGTTCTTCAGACATACCCCAAATCACCCAGTCTGTATCTATGCCTCAAATTGCAAATCTTGCTTCCCAAAATAAAACGTTAAATTTAGAGATTCATTGCTACATTTTATTTTGACTTCAACACCATCAAGACTTTGCTCATAGATGTGCTCCCTTACACATACACACACACACAACACATGAACACACAAATTTATGTGTCTGTATTTACTCTTTCATTCTTTCTGCTCCATTAAAACAATATTATTTCCACTTTCCCCATAAAACCTCACTCCTTAGAGAACCATTATTTCTCTGAATTCCCTGAGTCCATGTGTAAATCCCAGGTGATGTTTATAGTGTCTCATCATTACTATTAACATTTATTCATTTCAGACCTTTCTCAGATGTTCAGAGGCCCTGAGCTGCTGAAGGCCAGGAAAAAAACCACATCTAGTCATGTACTTACCATATTACATGGCATGCCTACAAAATTGTCTTTTCATTTATATAGTCACTCAACTCAAAAAAAATTTCATGATAAATAACTGTGGTTTAACAACTGTAATTGATGTAGGAAACTATGTATAGTTATCCACTAATGAAACAGATACCCTAATTTCTGGCAATGGCACTGCTAACACAAAACATATTAACCAATATTATGAGATGGGGCTATTTTCCACTTGAGAAACACCCAGAAAAGATACTTTAAAGGAGACTTCTGCTCCAAATTAGAGTGTGACTTTAGCGAATTGCAGTATCTTTTCCATCCTATAGAGGCTAATCACCCAAGACTATTATGATTTACCATACTCTACATAAGGACCAGAATTCTCAAAGGTCCTTAGCACAAGATAATGCAGATAAAAACATAATGTATCTAGTTGTCCTACAGACACCAGCCAGGCAGAGCATTTTCCATGCTGCTTGAGCAGAAAAATTAGTATCTGCCCCCTCAGAGCCTTATTCCAGCCTTAGCCCAAACATATTCATCTCTAAGATCATCCACATAGCCACACCTACATTTTCTCACCCTCACACATTTATAAACTCAGATAGTATGAATTAGTAGGTAACTGAAAAGTAAATATATCATATCGCTGTAATCTAGCTCTCTTTTCTTTGCTGGGATCCTCTTAAGTTTTGCATCTCTCCCCAGTCCCTGTTTCAGATCCACAATTCCAGTTGGATACTCTGTGGTTGGAAGATATGAGTGTGATCCTGTGTATGCTGCTGATCTTCATCACCATGCTCATTTCTTTCATTTACTTCAGATTGAGAGGTAAATAGAGTGGGAAGGGTGATAATTCAGAGGTCATTTTTCCTCTTACTGATGTCCAGTTGTCCAGAGGTATGACCTTTCTGGTGCTTGTGCCTTAATAACTGGAGGAAGAAACAAACACCTCTGTCCTGTGTAAGAGCTTCCTGATTGTAGACATCTTGAGGCTTCTGGGAATTCTAACTAATGCCAATGTAAGTACCATGAATGATAATGACAGCTTCAGAGCCCTCATTGCAAAGTTTTGCCAGTTCCTCCTGGTAAACTTGGAGGGCTCACCTATTTCATCCAGAAGCATTCACTAAAACTTTCTGTACACTGAACTCTTTGCAATTTTTTCTCTTTCTATCTCAAAGGTGGAGTTGAATGTTTAATATCAAAGTTTTCTCTTTTAGAAACATTTAAGTATCCATAGGGGCAGGACCAGGAATATTTCTGAACCTATGTTTGTAGGAGGCATATATTTTTGAAATATCCCTTAACTCATGTCCAAAAATAAAAGCCCTGGGTTTATTGTGCAAATATAATTTCCTTATGAAAATGGAAGAGAATGTAGAGAGCTAATAACCCTGGAAGGAAAATTTAGTATCTGGTTTTTGTGCTCTACAGGTAATCTATAATCCTACCAAGTTCCATTAAAGAATGTACACATGGTTAAGCTCATGTGTACTCTTGATTACCAGTAGGCTTTTACCCTCAAATACAATGAAATCCATGGTAAGTAATCATGGACCATACAGTGAAATTATTTTGCTTAATCAAAAAAACCTATAGCCTAGAATCCAAAAGAATGGTCTACTTTGTTTTCATCTTTGCTTCCAGTGACTGTTGGCTTTCTCTAGACCTCCTTCTGGGTGTTGAATTGTTCACTTAAGCAAATGTTTTTATCTCTCATTGAAGCTAGAAAATTCAAGTTAATCAATTTCTAAATAAAAATTGTTTCTTGTGGCTATTCCAAAAATGTCTTTGACATCTCAGAGGAGATCAATGTATTCTTAAACTTGTTCTCATCTCTAGTACTAGACTTTAAAATGCAAATTTAGAATATCTTGAGTAAATTTTATTTTATTAACAGATTTCCTAGAAAGACACAAGAATGCATTAGCATCAAACTTCTCACCTAGAACCCTGGATGGAGACACTGAACTGGATGATATGTAGGGTGACCAGATGTCCCGCTTTTTAACAATTTGTCCCACATCCTGTAGTATTTTTTTTAAGTCCCAAATTTTGGAAAGAATGCACAAAGAAGCAGGAGAACAGGAAGAGAATATACAGTTTTCAGCTGCCATGTGGCTATTTCACCAGAATATGAGTTTTATATTATTTTTGTTAAT